AGAACACAACACTGGACTAGGTTGGCCTTGGGCATGATCCAGCAGGGCTGTTATGTTCTTCCATTATAGAATGATAGAGTTGGAAGGGATCCCCACGGGTCATCTAGCCCAACCCCCTGCAATGCAGGAAACTCAACTAAAGCATCCATGACAGATAACACGAATTATAAAGTTTCCTGCGAACTCTTTTCATAATAGAATTCAAGATGGTGCACATAGAGTTCCTAAGCAGTATTACATCCTGACACTGCTCAGAGCTAGACATGTTCCACTTTATCAAGGCTGTTTTGTCATGTGCCTTAAGATACTGTTCAGGGAATACTTCTTTTCTTCGTCTATCCTATTTACTTCTTTTTACTTGCAAAATATTGGATTCCTATCAGGAAAAGATAAGGAGCGATGCCATTGTTTGCTTCTGCCATGCATCCTAATCTTTTGGGGACTTCCAAAACTCATGGATTGTGTAGCACAATTCAAAACCACCATGCTTTCTGGCTGGGGAATATAAGCACTCATTCTAAAGGCTACTGCATTTTCTGCTCCAGTGATTCAAACTGTGGCATATTTTTCAGCAGAATAATAAATAAAGCCTTTTCATAGGAGAAAAATGATTTGTAGACTCCCTTAGGGATCAGTTGTATACCCTATTTCATTTTTTTAAAATTGATATGGGAGAAGTATGAATATATACATGACCAGCTTGGAATTAATTTTAGTACAGGATCACACAATTATGCATCTTCTATATTAGTCTAATGCAGCTCTGCCTCCTCTCAGAAGACCTCAGATGGGTACAGCTTCCTCTTCAAGCAACAATTTGCCATTGCTTGGCAAGCAGGGCCCACTGGGAGCTGTCCAGGGTCCTGATTTCTGTTGCACGCGACCTTACCTTGACTTCACTTGACTGAATTTGACTAGACTTGACCTGCCTACCTCACTTCCCATGCAAGACTCAGGTCCCAACAGAGCAGAGTGCTGCCCCTGCTCCTCTGCACTACCTATGCTGCATGGTGGAAAGATGCACTACCTGTGTTCAGTCCATCTGTATTATCTTGTGAAAGCTTCTTAATAAAGCCAAATAATAATATTAATAATAATGCATTGGGGAAGGAATCTTGTTGCATCCTTCAAGCCTGATGGAGCAGCCAAGAGCCAGTTCTAGTTTGTGGGTTCCATGTGTAACCATATTAATGTGAGCATTAAATGCCCATTTGCAGATAGTAAACTCAGTCCTTTACAGCAGAATGCAGCAGAAGCAACTGTGGTTGGAATAGTAGCATCAAAGGTTTTATTTATAAAGCAAATAGCAAAACAGCAAGATGACTCTCACATCCATCTTCTTCAGCAGAGCAGAGAGCAGAGAGGGAGGAGACATTTAGATAGTTCCCATCAATTAAGTAATTAAAGGCAACCCGCAACATTATGCAATGTGAGAATGAAACCTTACAATACTAACCATTAAGAGCACTCAAGCCATTAGTTTAGCTGTCCTTCATCTAAATCTGTGTTACAAAGATGGCAGCACATGAAAGTTGGCAACATCAACTCCACCATGTGGGAATCCCTTGCAGATGCCTGGAGACAGTCAGATTGTGCATGCATAGCAATGACCAGAGAAAGAATGACCACTGGAAGGAGCATGGAGAGAAGAAACCCCATGGTGCATCTGCAGCAGCAGAACCAGACACCTTCATCAGCCCCAGGTCCTCCCAATAGCCACATCTCACTTTGGAGGGGCTACACTGATGCATAAAAATCACACAAAACTAGCACTGACTCTTTTAAGATTATTTGATCATCTATTGTGATCTAATCTGGCTCAGTATTAGTTATTCTGTCATTGTGCCTGTAATTGGAATATGTTGTGTTTGTCTACTGGGAGTTGTCTGCTGACTGACAGCGGGTCTCCAGGGTTTCAGGCAGGAGTGTCTCCCTGGAGATGCCAGAGATTGAATTTGGGACCTTTTAAGAACATAGGAAGCTGCCTTACACTGAATCGAGCCATTGGTATCTATAGCTCAGGATTGTCAACATTGACTTCTGACTCTCCACAGTTTCTGGCAGGGGTCTCTCTTTGTTTCTCAACCCTACCTGAAGATGCCAGGGATTGGACCTGGGATGTTCTGCACAGAAAGCACATGATGAACAGTAGATCATCTCAGCTATGGACTTTAAGGAAAGTGAAGGCCATTTCTTCAATCTGATCATTCAAGGACACACTTGCAAGTGCGCACGATTGTTAACTTGGCAGCCAGTCAAATTCTTACTTCCCAATTGAGCCAGAAATACCACATGATTGGGGCAATGTTTCCTTTGGTTTGTTTATCCCAGGTTTTATGGTAACATAGCCCAAAGCACTGCATCTATTATTTTCCCCAAAATTGTTTACAGAGTTCTTAGAGCAGCCAGTGAGGAGGCCACTGTCATGAGAACAGCATTGTGCTGGGCTTGGCACCGAAACTGACTAGCAGATTTTGTTGGTTAGAACTTGGCAAATCTGTGGTGTTTGCATGTTTTGCTTCCTCTGGATGAGGCTTCTGGCTGCTGTTGTGCCTGATGAAGCGACTGATAAAAACGTGACATTGGAGCAGGGACGCTTCAGAAGTTTGCATAATTCATGTTCCCCCTGCTGAGAACTTTCCCATGAAGCCAGGCCAGGGATAGAGATGAGAGACAAAATGAGGAGCTCAGTGGAAAGCCTGGAGGAAAAACAAATGACACTGCAGAAGATTGGAAAAGCTCACCGATGACAATCTGGACAAAATGGCAGGATTAGCCACACATTACCGAGGAGACTGCAGGCAGACAAATAAATGTGATCTCTTTGATAAAATCAACTTTCTAGAACCATTTGCTTGAGAAAGTACTGATGGGTCTATAACATATTTATGATGGGTTAGATCCAGACTTTGCCATCCATGAGCAGAGGGGCTGCTTCTGTCAACAGAAGGCTTTTGATCCAACAGAAAGGTTCCACTGGTGGATTGGGGAAGGAGGCTTTTACTGATTCCTTTTGCCTTTGTGGCCCCCACTTCCACCTCCTGTACTGTTCCACAGGGTTCCCCAACCCTCTGGAGTAAAAGAGGATACAAGAGCCTATAGGGGATGGGAGAACTGGCAAAAGTCACCCCCACCACCTTGCTGGTTGGACCAATAACTAGCTCTAACCTACTAATAATTTATTCTTTACTGTTATCATTAGTATTGTTTTTATTAAATTGCATTTTATATCCTACCTTTCTTCCACCATGAAAAGCAAGGCAACGTCCCTTAGGATTTACAGACAGTCTCTCCTCAAGGCATCATCAACCCGATCCAAATCTGCTTAGTTTCACCAAGTTTAATGTATCCCATGGAGGCCAACATGCTGTCCTCCAGATGTTGTTTAGACTACAATTCCCATCATCCTGTACAACATCATGTTATTACTGTTATGATCTGCTTTGAACAGTGATAAGGACAAATAGAACCTATTCCAGAGGCAGGGTGGACTAGAGTAGAGATCATTGTTTAGTCGTTTAGTCGTGTCCGACTCTTTGTGACCCCATGGACCAGAGCACGCCAGGCACTCCTGTTTTCCACTGCCTCCCGCAGTTTGGCCAAACCCATGCTAGTAGCTTCGAGAACACTGTCCAACCATCTCGTCCTCTGTCGTCCCCTTCTCCTTGTGCCCTTAATCTTTCCCAACACCAGGGTCTTTTCCAGGGAGTCTTCTCTTCTCATGAGGTGGCCAAAGTACTGGAGCCTCAGCTTCAGGAGCTGTCCTTCCAGTGAGCACTCAGGGCTGATTTCCTTAAGAATGGAGAGGTTTGATCTTCTTGCAGTCCATGGGACTCTCAAGAGTCTCCTCCAGAACCATAATTCAAAAGCATCAATTATCCGGTGATCAGCCTTCTTTATGGTCCAGCTCTCACTTCCATACATCACTACTGTATGGAGATAGTAGATATGGAGTAGTAGATATGGAGTAGATATGGAGTATATGGATAGTAGATATGGAGTAGAGATAGAGGAACTCTTTTTTATCAGTATACAATGTAATGGGCAAAATTGTCTCTTGGATCATAATGCTGGTACATGAGTGATGCCATGTGCATGCCACTTATTGAATTGCCCTCTTAGCACTGCAGTTCCCAACACCAGGCATAGCAGGGAGCTCTTTAGACATTGCCCACCGCCAATGGAAACAGACAGAAACAAAAGAGGTCTGCTAGCTGTGGACAGGGGACAACAACCACATGCAATTTTTGCAAGAAGAGATGGAGGGAATTGATCCAAAAAGGAAAAAAAAAGTTAAGTACCAAACCAAAACCTTTCTTGGGCAGCCTGGTCACACCATCAGAGGTCAACAAGAGTTTCATGAGGAGAAAGCGGGTAACATTAAATACATTCTGTGCATGCTCCTACTAAGCAGCTAACTTAGTACAGTAGTTGATGTAGCTTAACAGTGATCAATGAGAGTGACTGAGAGTGATGGGTTAAAATGGAAGAATTTTTATGCATGCATCAGAAAGAGCAGCTTGGTCAGCTGTTTTGGTTTCTGAAGCTCTAAAAGCAATCTGGAGATGGGAGATGTTTCCAGTAGATGAGATCTATTAACTATACTGCTCACACACGTAGATGGTCATTAGTCAGGAGAAAATGTTTCCGTCCCTGTAATTTACAGAGAATGGCCATCAAACAATGTGTCATCTGTTCATCCAAGGCCATGCTGGCAAGCAGGCGTAAGACAGAGCTGAGCTTGCAACCAACTAGGACTATATATTCCCCCCATGGAACCAGAGATTCCACAACCACTGGGGCAATGCATAAACCTATTTATTTATTTACCATATTTGTTTATTTAAAAGCATTTTTATAATGCTTAATATTTCAAAGATATCTAAGTGTGAAGTGGTGTAAAGTATAAATAAAAACACGTCATTAAACATTAAAATGAAAATGCAGTTTAAAACCAATAAAACAGCAATATAAAGGTGAATAGAACAGACATCCGAGGATTAAAACTTTTTAAAATTATTTATTTGGTTTTTCAGATGGAAATTTTACAATCCTATATCAAACATAAATCATAAAAACAAGATTCTAAGGAATCTCCTGGACTTTCATCCTCCCCTTTATGGGTCCTATTATTTATTTCCTCCTGCATCTTTTATGATGATCCAAAACTTTTACATCTCCATTATATCCAAAATTCACCATTAAACTACAAGTGATATTCCAATCCCACTAACAATTTTAACTGTTTATAATGGTCTTTAAGATAAGTTATAAATTTTTCCCATTCTTTATTAAACTTTTGGTCTTCCTGATTTCTGATTCTTCCAGTCATTTTGGCATAGTCCATCAACTTCATCTGCCATTCTTCTCTGGTAGGGACTTTATCTTCTTTCCAACTCTGGGCCAATAAAATCCGTGCAGCCGTGGTCACATACGTACATAAAAAGTCTTTTCTGCTTCCTTGGGATTTCAATACCTAGAAAAGAGGATTCCAACTTGTAAACTAGGGTCCAATTTTATGGGTCAGGAAAAGCTTGGGCAAAAGGATAAGTCTTCACAAGGCATCTGAAGCAACTGTTGGTTGCTGCTCTACAGAATAGCAGCAGCAGCAACAACAACAACAGCAAGAACTCAATGGGAGAGTATCTTCTTTCTTTGCAGAAGGTCCACAGCATCCTCAGGTAGGGTTGGGAATGCCACTTCCTGAAAGCCTGGAGACCCTGCAGCTAGTTGACAACACTGAGCTAGTTGGATCAATGGTCTGACTCAGTGTGCAGCAGCTTTCTGTGTTCCGGTTATGATGATGATGATGATGATGATGATTACCAAGCCTTATGAAGAAAAGAAACCAAGCCTTATGAGGAACAGTTGAAGGAGCTGGCTATGTTTAGCCTGGAAAAAAGGAGACTGAAAGGAGATATGATAACCATCTTCAAATATCTAAGCAGCTAAAGAACTCATAACCCACCTACTTTCAGAAGCCAGAAACACCATAACCAGACACTGGAGAAACCTGTCAGGAGTAAGCATGGACCAATGGTACCAAATAATATGGGAAACAGCCCTACTAGAAAAATTAACCAATAAACTGAAACTGACATGGGGACAAACAGAAGAAGACACCTTTATGGCTCCCCTATATCACATACACAGCCCAACAAGACAATGACAAAAATCCACCAGCAGCATACAAACCAATACGGCTAACCTGATCCAAAACACCCACCCACCCCACTCACACATGAAAACAAAGACCACCACAGCCAATCACAAACAAACAATCACACCCTAGGCCAACCCTAACCTCTCTCACCACCAAAGGAACACAAGTGAATAGCAGAGAACCTGCACAAGCAACATTGACACCAAACCACACACATAGTAAGTAAAATAGAAACATCGCCACCCGACCCCACCCCCACTTATCTCCCCCTCTTCCACCTCTTTCCCCCTTTTCTTCTTAATGTCTCAACAAATGAAACTGATCTGTAAAAAATGTTACTTGGGAAAAGAGAGAAAGAGAGAGTGAGAGAGAGAGAGACATTGCACATACTTTTGTAAACCAAGAAAATATTTAATAAAAATACATTTTATACACACACACAGTGGTACCTCGGGTTACATACGCTTCAGGTTACAGAGGCTTCAGGTTACAGACTCCGCTAACCCAGAAATATTACCTCAGGTTAAGAACTTTGCTTCAGGATGAGAACAGAAATCGTGCAGCGGCAGTGCGGTGGCAGCGGGAGCCCCCATTAGCTAAAGTAGTGCTTCAGGTTAAGGACAGTTTCAGGTTAAGAATGGACCTCCAGAATGAATTAAGTACTTAACCCGAGGTACCACTGTGTGTGTGTGTGTGTGTGTGTGTGTGTGTATATGCAGCTGTCACGTGTAAGATGGAGCAAGCTTGTTTTATCCTGCTCTGAAAGGTAGGTCCTAAACCACTCACTGACTTCAACTTACAAGAAAGGAGATTCCAACTAAACATCAGGAAGAACTTTCTTTTCTTTTTTTCTTTTTTAAAATATTTTATTAAGGATTTTCTTGTTTTACAGAAGTAAGTGTAATGCCTCGTATTTTTTTCCCCCATGTAACATTTTTACAAATCCGTTTCATTTGTTGAGGCATTAGGGGGAGAAGAAAAAAAGGAAAAAAGAAAGGGGGGTGGAGAGAGGGAAGATGGATGGGGGTGGGGTCGGGTGGCGGTGTTTCTATTATGTTTAATGTATGTAGAGTTTGGTGTCAGCGTTGCTTGTGTTGTTCACTTGTGTTCCTTTGGTGGTGAGAGAGGTTGGGGTTGGCCTAGGGTGTGATTGTTTGCTTGTGATTGGCTGTGGTGATCTTTGTTTTCGTGTGTGAGTGAGGTGGGTGGGTGTTTTGGATCAGGTTAGCCATATTGATTTGTATGCTGTTGGTGGATTATTGTCATTGTCATGTTGGGCTGTGTATGTGATAAAGGGGAGCCATAGCGGGGTGAAGGCGTCTTCTTCTGTTTGTCCCCGTGTCAGTTTCAGTTTATTAGTTAATTTTTCTAGTAGGGCTGTTTCCCATACTATTTGGTACCATTGGTCCATGTTTACTCCTGACAGGTCTCTCCAGTGTCTGGTTATGGTGTTTCTGGCTGCTGATAGTAGGTGGGTTATGAGTTCTTTGTGGTGTAAATGGGCATTGTTGTCTTGGAAGATGTTTAGTAGGGCCAATTCTGGGGTGATGTCTATTACTTGCTTAGTTATTTTACATATTTCTTGTATGGCTGTTGTCCAGAATAGTTGGATTTTGGGACACTCCCACCACATGTGGAGGTATGTGCCTGTGGAGGTGCAACCTCTCCAGCATCTTGGTGAGGTTCCTGGGTGTATTAGCGCTAGTTTCCTTGGTGTTAGGTACCACCTGTAGGTGAGTTTCAGTGTGAGTTCTTTTCTTTTCATTGATATGGATTTAAAGGGGGGTTTAGACCACATTCTGGTCCATTGAGTAGGGTTAATCTCATAGCCTATGTCATTCTCCCATTGTTTTTTGATTGCATCTAGGGGATTTGTGGGATTTTGGAGTAGTATTTTGTATATTGCGGATACCGTCCCTTTACCGTTTCCCTTTGTTGTTAGGAGGAGGTTTTCGAAGGTTGTCAAGGGCCTAGTTGCTGCTGATTTTACTGTTGGGTTGTTTAAGAGGGCATGTAGTTGGTGTTGTGTTAACCAGGGCATTTGGGTGTCTTCTAGTTTGTCTTGTATTTCTTGTGTTGACAAGGGTTTGTTATTTTTATAAAAGTCTATTAGGCGATATAAGCCTTTGGTTTGCCAGGTTTTTATCTGGAGGTTTTGTGCTGCATGGTAGAATAATGGGTGGTACGCCAGGGGGATTAGTGGGGATGGGGTTGGGGATAGTTTGCCTATTTGTGTTTTCCATGCTTTGAGCATGGTCTGTGTGTACCTGTTAAGTGTTGTGGGAATTTTCTTTAGTTTGTTTGGGAGGAGTGGGTATGTTGTGGTGCAGGTATTTTCAATTGTGTCCCTCTCTAGGTGTACCCATTGTTTTGTCTCATCTTCTAGTATATATGGGATTATATGGCGTATTTGGTTGGCATTGTAATATGCTTCTATGTTGGGGATTCCCCATCCTCCTTCTGAGGTGGGGAGGTTCAGGTATTTGAGGCTTATTCTTGGTTTTTTATGTGAGAAGATGAAAGAGTGTAGTTTTCTCTGCCAACTGCGAAGTTGGGTTGAGGGGATCCAGATTGGGAGGGTTTGGAATAGGTAGGTTAGTTTTGGGAGTGTGATCATTTTGATCATGGCTATTTTGTCTGAGAGAGTGAAATTCATGTTATTCCATCTCTTTAGGTCTTTGTTAATTTGTCGCCACAGGGGCTTGTAGTTGTGGAGGTACAATTTATTGAGGTTTCTGGTTATTTGTACCCCTAGGTATCTGAACTTGGTGTGGCAAAGTTTTATTTTGGTGACCTTCGTGAGTTCTTTTTGGGTGTGAGGAGGGGTGTTGAAGCACATAGCTTCTGACTTTGTAAAATTTACCTGTAGGCCCGACACCATTGCAAATGTGTTGAGTTCTCTGATTAGGGAGGTTGCTGTGCTTATGGGGTCTGGTGTTGTGACCATTAGGTCATCTGCAAAGAGCCCTAATTTATAGGTTCTGCCTTTTATATCCACTCCCTTGATGTCTGTGGCTGCTCGGATGCGGATTGCTAAGGGTTCCAGAGCCAGGATAAATAAGAAGGGAGACAGTGGGCATCCTTGTTTCGTGCCTCTTTGGATAGCTATAGTATTAGAATCCATATTGTTAGTTCTGCATTTTGCTGAGGCTTGGGAGTATATTTGTTTGAGGATTTGTAGGAAGTTGGGGCCAAATTTCATGTTAGTTAGTACTGCTAATATGTATTTCCACTCTAAGCAATCAAAGGCTTTGAGGATGTCTAGGGACATAATTGTCAATGGGAGTTTGGTTGCCTTGCTGTGTTCGATCAGGTTCAGTAGTTTCCTGATGGGGTCTGTTATATTGCGGCCAGGGACAAAGCCAGTCTGGTCTGGGGCTATTAACTTGTGTAGGAAGATTTTTAGGCGGTTGGCCAAGATTGATGTGAATATCTTGTAGTCTTGGTTTATTAATGAGATTGGGCGGTATGATTCTACTTTGAGGCTGTCTTTTAGTGGTTTTGGGATGGAGACTATTTTGGAGGATGGGGGTTTTGGGGATGGGGCCCCCTTTTATGATGTCGTTGAATAGGCGGGTCATGTAGGGCATCAAGGGTTCTTTGAATTTCCTATAGAATTCTGCTGTGAAGCCGTCTGGGCCTGGGGCTTTGTGTGGTTTCAGGTTTTTGAGGACCGCATCTATTTCCTCTGGGGTGATAGGGCTGTCCATGAATTCCTGTTCCTCATCAGTTAGGGTAGGCATGGACAGTCCTGCTAGAAATTTTCTGATTTCCTTCTCTGGTGGGTTATGGGAGGTGTATAGGTTGGAGTAGAATTCTGCAAATTCTGAGGTTATTTCTTCGGGGGAGAATGTTATGTTGCCGTCTCTTTTGGTGATGCAGTGTATTCTTGTTTTGAGTGCTTTTTTCCTACATCTATTTGCTAGTAATCTGGAGTTTTCCCCTCCATATTCGTAGAAATGTTGTTTAGAGTATAGAATGTTGATCATTGTTTTGTTAATTTCTAGGAGTCTAGTTCTCTCCTTTTTGTTCTATAAGTTTGAGGAGTTTTTAGATCCTGTTTGTTTGTAGCGTGATGAGAGGGCTGTGATGTCTTGTTCTATTTTGCTAATTTTTGAGGAGGTTTGTTTTTAAGGAATGTTTTCTCTTTTATGCAAGCTCCTCTGGTGACCGCTTTCATTGCGTCCCATAGGAGGGGGGTTGTTATATTGTTTACATCGTTTTCCTTGAAGTAGTCTTGGAGGGTTTTTGTGAGACTCTCTCTAATTTGTTTGTTTGTAGTTAGGATGGGACTGAAGGACCATGATGGGGTGGTTTGTGTTCCTTCTCCTATTTTAACGATGACTTCTACTGGGGCGTGATCTGTGATTTTAATGTTACCTATGTTTGTTGATTCCACTGAGGGGATCAGACCCTGTGTGAGTAGAATGCTGTCCAGTCTGGACACTGTATCATGGCGTCCCGATTGGAATGTATGGCTGATGTCTCCCGGGTTTTGCTCACCCCAAATAGGAAGAACTTTCTGACATTAAGAGCTGTTTGACAGTGGAACAGTCTCCCTCGGGTGATGGTGGGCTCTCCTTCCTTGGAGGTTCTTAAGCAGAGGTTGGAAGGCCGTCTGTCACGGATGTTTTAGCTGAGATTCTTGCATTGCAGGGGGTTTGACTAGATGACCCTTGGGGTTCCTTTCGACTCTACAATTCTATGATTTTATGATGGTGGTGGTGGTGGTGATGATTAGATATGCGGTAACAAGAAAATTTAAAAAAGAGAAATCCAATAATTGCCATTTCTGGACGCAAGTGAGAAATGAGAGATGCTGTGAAGAGGCAACAAAAGGTCTGCAGCTCTTGTCGTCTCCCACAGATCTGCCTACATCAGCTGCTATTTACTGTTCTGTCATTATCTTCTGTAATGGTTATGATGAAGCCATAGCAGCATATTCATAGCTCTTTGAAATAATCACCGGGCTCTTCGTCTTATGCGGCATGTGAGAAACATCAAGGTGGAATCCTGCAGAGTGACTGCAGGAGGGAACATTACAACAGGGATAAGAGAGAGCAAATCAGCTCAGCTTGCTTCAGGCTCAATGCATCCGAGGACAGGCTGGCATTGTTATGGGATTAAGTAAAATAGCACATCAGTTAGGGAATGTGACGGTTGCCAGGAATTGAGAAGCAGAAAGGCAATGCCAGATCTCCCTTGTTCACAGGGGACTGGGCACTAGACCACATTTAGAGAAGGCTGCTCTGAAATTTCATGAAATTCAATTACATGTACAATTATACTACATAAGAGCATAAGACGTGCCCTGCTGGATCTGGCCCATGTAGTCCAGGATCTTTTTCTCAAAGTGGCCAGCCTGATGCCCACTGGAAGTCCAAAAGCAGGACCTGAGTGAAACAGCAAACTCTCCAGTTGTCGTTCCAAGGAAATTATATTCACAGGCATATTGCCTCCAATGGTGGAGGCAGAAGATGACTAGTGGTCAGCAGTAGTGCAAAAGAAAAAAACAACCCCATTTAAACTGACCATTGTGGTAGTAAATTTAAATGTCCATTTCCCCCTTTCAAAATAAAGAAGAAGAAGAAGAAGAAGAAGAAGAAGAAGAAGAAGAAGAAGAAGAAGTTTGATTTGGTAGATTTGCCCTCCTTCCCTCTTTTTTCATCTCTGATGCTCCAGGTTCTTCCATCAGTGACTTAGTACCACTGACATGTGATATTATGTAGCCAATAAGGTTTCACCCTAGATATATTGTGACATTGCATGATGATGTAGAGCACCACTGATTTTCCTTCTGGATCTCATGCACATAATTTCAAATGAATGGAGACCTACAGAATAATTCTAAATATAGGAAGCTAGTGGAATTTATTAAATTAAGCCAGCATAGATTATCCCTACTTCAAATGCCATTCAGGAATGGGGCTACTGTAGACTGAGTACACCACCCTTTTTTGCGGGCGTATATTCTGCTGCTTAACATGGTTGAGCTAAGAGTCAGAATAAGGATCCTGCCTGATCCTATTCCTGTCAACCCCCTGGAATGCCTATTTTTCAGGGCTTACAGCAGTGTAAGATCTGCCAGTCTCAGCTCAGCCAGCTGAGTTGAGATGAGGGAATTGTGCTGCCATATCGCCAGCTTGAGCCAGGATGTGGGGCTCACACTTGTGTAGCCTGGCTGCAATGGGAATCAGCTGACTGAGCCAGAGATTTGCTGGGTCCTAGCACGCTTGACTTGGTGGGTCTTGGGTTTGGATGACTTCCTAAGGCCAGAGGAGAATAAGAAGAGCTATCTAACACAGCATTCTGTTCTCACAGTGGCCAACCAGAAGCCTGTGGGAAGCCCATAAGCAGGGCATGAGCACTAGAGCACTACCTCTGATACTGGAGACAATATATCACCATCATTACTTGTAGCCAGCTTTAGGAACTGAAAGCTTTATGAATTTGTCTAAACTCCTTTTAAAGTTGACGGCCGTCAGCCCATCAATCCACCTTGTAGGAGCCGATTCTGTGGTTTAACTATATGCTGTGTAAAAAGTCCTTTTTACTTGTCCTGAGAACCTCTAGGTTCACTGGAAAGTCCTTGCATCAACAGTAGTCTCCTGCACACATGGAGCTCCTGTAGCTTCAAGGAGCCTCTGCACTAGGCTGAATCCAAATAAGCAAATTCAATTGGAAGGGAAATTTTATTTGGGAATACATTTTCATATGCATGCAAATCTTTTTGCATAGCTCAGAATCCAATTAGTGTAATAGGTACCACCAATATATTGAATTTTGGGTTGGGGGAGTGAAATAAGCATAAGATAAATGATAAAACTTCTTGCATGAAAGGCAGTGAGCATGAAAGGCAGTGTGGATGAGAGAGGTGGGGAGCAGGAAACTAATTTTCCATTGGCAAGCTGTTTTAGGAATCAGATCACACATTCCCATCATTTCCTAAGAAGAGTTGAATGAGCACCAGAATTGAAAAACAATACTTGAATAGAGATGAGATGAGATGGGGAAACCCTTCTTACAATTCCAAGCTCTTAATTACTGCAGTTTGACAATAATAGAGTTACAGTCCTGTAATCAATCACAGCCTGCAGCAGGAGATAAGAACTCTTCACTTAGTGAGATTGGAAAAGGGCACTATTAATTGGTGGAGCTTTCATTAGGAAAATGAACAGCCAGGCAAGGGGAGAGGAGCAAAAAGGATGCCAGGACCAATTTCTTTGATAACCAGCAATTGCATTAAATGTTCCCTTCTCTGAATGGCGTCAAGGCCAAGTGGACTGCCTGGTGTGTGGGCACTGAACAAAAGACACAACTCTTCTTCCCCCACTGAATTCTGTCAAATGAAATCATTTAGAGAACTTAAACTGCAATACAATAGGAGCACACTGATACCCTTGAACACTCTTTACAGAAACAACATTCCAAAATAGTACTATGAGTTTGTGGGTGCCAGGGTTCGTGGGTGCAAGAACCCCATAATTCCTGGCTTTAGTAAGTGTTAGAATTTAATCAATGCTTGGAGAGTTAAACTGGAAGTCATGCTCTAAGTAGCTGGCCTCAGCTCCCTGTGCTCAAAGATTGCCTGAAAGATGAGCCATTAAGAGAGAACAAAGACAAGGAGGTGAGCCATTAACAAAGAAAAGAAACTGCCTGGGGCCCCTGGGATCTCACACCACTTGGAGATTGGGGTGGCATGTAACACTGGGCTTACTATCAGGTGTGTGTGTGTGTGTGTGTGTGTGTGTGTGTGCTTAAAACTGCAGTTCCAACAGTTCTGGAACAACAAATCTATGATGTGACCACAGTTGGTCATCTCAACTCAAAAAGGAGTTGCAAAGCTTCAGCAAAGGACAACCAAGATAATAAAGGGGGTGGAGTGATTCCACTATGAGGAAAGGTTGTGAGGTTTGGGACTTTTTAGTTTAGAGAAAAGGTAAGTAAGTGGTGGCATAATGGAAATTTATAAAATTATGCATGGCATAGAGAAAGTGGAACCAAAATAAAAAAATTCTTTCCAGTAGCACCTTAGAGACCAACTAAGTTTGTTCTTGGTATGAGCTTTTGTGTGCATGCACACTTCTTCAGATACACAGAAGTCACCAGACCCTCATATATAGTGAGAGGGTGGGGAGGGGTATTACTCAGAAGGGTGGTGGGAATGGAGAGACCTGGTCTGAATAGAGACATTGGATTCTTATCTAATTATACATGATAAAGCTATTTTTGGCCATCTCATCCCTTGCTTTTTCCTGTAAGACCAATTGAAGTCATTAACAGTCGTCAACTGGTTTACCACACCTATCAGCCAATCACCTATTCCCACCACCCTTCTGAGTAATACCCCTCCCCACTGTTTCAGTGTATCTGAAGAAGTGTGCATGCACACGAAAGCTCATACCAATAACAAACTTAGTTGGTCTCTAAGGGGCTAAGGGACACGGGTGGCACTGTGGTCTAAACCACTGAGCCTCTAGGATTTGCCAATCAGAAGGCCGGCGGTTCGAATCCCCGCGACGGGGTGAGCTCCCATTGCTCGGTCCCTGCTCCTGCCAACCTAACAGTTTGAAAGCGCACCAGTGCAAGTAGATAAATACGTACCGCTCCGGCGGGAAGGTAAACAGCATTTCTGTGCGCTGCTCTGGTTCGCCAGAAGCGACTTAGTCATGCTGGCCACATAACCCGAAAGCTGTACGCCGGTTCCCTCGGCCAATAAAGCGAGATGAGTGCCGCAACCCCAGAGTTGGCCATGACTTGACCTAATGGTCAGGGGTCCCTTTATCTTTACCTTTAAGGTGCTACTGGAAGGCATTTTTTTTATTTTGGTTCGACAATGGCAGACCAACACTGCTACCTACCTATATATAGAGAAAGTGGATAGAGAAAAGTTTGGTCCTTCCCTCATAACACTAGAACTCGTGGACATCCAATGAAACTGAAACTGAATCCTGGAAGATTCAGGACAGATAAAGGCATGTACTTATTCATGTACCACATAGTTAAACTTTGGAGCTCAGGAGGCAGTGATGACCACCAACTTGGATGGCTTTAAAAGAGGAGAAGACAAATTCATGGATGGTAAGGCTATTGATGGCTACTGGTCATGATGGCTAAGCTCTGTCTCCATGGTTGGAGGCAGTAATGCTTCTGATTTCCACTTACATATAAAAATAAATATAAAAATACAGTGGTACCTTGGGTTAAGTACTTAATTCATTCCTGAGGTCCGTTCTTAACCTGAAACTGTTCTGAACCTGAAGCACCACTTTAGCTAATGGGGCCTCCCGCTGCCGCCACCGCATGAATTCTGTTCTCATCCTGAAGCAAACTTCTTAACCTGAGGTACTATTTCTGGGTTAGCAGAGTCTGTAACCTGAAGCATATGTAACCTGAAGTGTATGTAACCCGAGGTACCACTGTATGTCTTTTAAGAGAACCCCACTAAAATGTTCCTGAATGTTGTGAACTGCCCTGAGATCTACAGGTATAAGGCGGTATACAAATTTAATAATTAATAAATAAACATGCTGGTGGATTTTCATGATGCCTTCTTTTTTTTAAAAAAAAAGTTGCAAACTGCTGTGGAAATGCGGAGAAATTAAGATCAGAAAAATAGGAAACTGAAAGAATCCATTCGTAGCCTTTCTGATATGATTGTTGAAAAGAGTCTTGAAAAATATCTTTGGAGCATTTTTAACACCTAGAAACTGCTTGAGATAATTGCTAAGTATCTATGATTTGTAGGCAGGCACATCATCAGCTTTGGATATCTTAAATTTATGCTGTTCTTCTTTGGTAAACCAATGTAGAGTTCCTGTCTGGAATGAAGAATATGTTTAATTACAGGAGTGCCTGGAAACATCAACACAACTGGAACTGCCCCGAAATAACCACTATAATCTCCATTTTTAAAGATGTTTATAGCTTATTTCTCTGCATGAAATACTTTAGAGTCTCCACTAAGAAAAAATGTTTGGAGTCTTAACATCTCTTGTGCCTCCCACCCCCATGCTCATCAAATATACCCCCGATATTACAGATTTGATGAGTCTAATTAAAATTAGTGCCTGAGAAGATACAGAGAAATTGAGAAGGCTCTTAGGTAAAGATAGCAGCCAGGGATAGAGCAAGAAAGTATTGGTAATTCTGTTTTGTCATGCTAAGCCAGAGGTGGGAAACCTATGGCCACCAACTTAAATTTATGTGGTCCCCATTACCCCCTGAATCAGCCTCATTCCTCAATCTCATCAGCTCCTTCACTTTCTGTACATAGGAACATAGGAAGCTGCCCTATACTGAGTCAGATTATTGGTCCATCTTGCTCATTATTATCTGCTACACTGACTGGCAGTGACTTTCCAATGTTTCAGACAGGAGTCTCTTCCAGTCCTACCTGGAGATGGCGGTGATTGAACCTGGGACCTTCTGCATGCAAGGCAGATGATTTAACCACTAAGCTACAACCAAGACCTAGTAAGAAACCAGGGGCTTCCCAAGCCAAAGACTTCCAAACCACAGCTAGAACTAACTTCGGTGGGGTTTATGAATAAAATTGCTTGTACTCCTTAGCTGCCTATGCTTTGTGATCGCAACAGCAGGTGGCTCCTGGGTGGCAGTTACCATTTTCTTTTCCCAGAATTCCACTTTGGGGCAATATATTTGAGCAATGGGGGAGAAAACAGTGACAGACTAAAGAAGGACCTCTCACCAAGAGGTAAGCCCCCCTTGGAGAATCTCTAAATCACACCCCGATTTCACTGTCCATCCATGAGAAAGCAAAAATGGTGAATTTCAGCTAAGCATTCTGAGAGATGCCAAAACCAGAACTCTGAGAGATAGCAGTTCCCAAGTCATATATCATCAAGGGCAGTATCCTCAGGCCTAGGCTTCATGCTTGGGAAGGGATAGCAAAGAGGCAACAGAGTTCTGGGCTGTCAATTCCTCAGCAAGAGCTTGCTGCAAGAGGGAGACAGCAAAGACAAAGAAAGTTAACACCAAGCCTCTATATGGGCAACTCCTCTGTTTCCTGGGATCTGTCCAGGGTCCTGAAGGGCATGTCTCTGAGCAGCCTTGTTTCTCAATTCAGAATGAATCTTCTTCTTTGGCGATTACTCGTAGCTGAGTAAGATTGTCTTCCATGAACACTTAACAGTGAGTCCGTAAGTGACTGTGGAGGCCAATTCTGGATCCACACATCCTTCCACAGTTGGGACATAGGTTTCCGGGTGGGAGTTTATCATGGTGAGGGTTTGCCAAATGTCCCTTCCTCTTAGCATGTTTCTTCCTTTTGTCCTGAGTTCTTCAAAGTCTTCAAAGTCCATGACACCTTTGGTAAAGGAATGAATACCCAATCACAGCAATCTAATGCAGAACACTATCCAGCACTGCTTCTTCCTCCCTACTCCCCATAGGATGGCAGCTTAGGCAGCCTAGTCTTTACTACTAGGAACTGAGTATGGTGTGAGTGATCTGTCCTCATGCACTGAGTACATGCGCTGAGGATATGAAAGAAGGATTTATATCTAGATGTTAGGATAGAGATGATAAAGAAAACAAGAAAACAGGAAGACACAATGAGAGATAAAGGAGGTGCTGCGGGATTGGTGGAAGCCAATGTCTTGTTGTTGTTTTAGTGTTTATAATATTAACTTGTAAGATATGGATTTGTTTTTTGTTTGTTGTTGTTGTTGTTGTTGCTTTCTTTAGTTTTCGAATGTTGATTTTTATGTGTTGTGTATTGTTATTTTTTGATATCTTTCATGTTGGTGTTGTTGTTTGGAAAATGCTAAAAAAAATTTTTTTTTTTAGAAGAGTACATGCACTGAGTACATGGAAACTTGTTAGCCCACCCTTTGAAGACCCTGTACTTTACACACTGTTTGCCATTTCCAGAAATTTCTATAGTTAACAACAACTTGCCATAATGGCCAATGCAGTCTACATATCAGGATTCATGATTCCAATGCATAGAGAATCTTTATCCCTGTTGCTGAACTACAACAACGCTTCATCCCTGTCCATTGGCTATGCTTGCTAGGGCAGATGAGAGTTCAGCAATATTCCCCACTCCTCTTTGGTCCATTTCCAGTACTTCAGTCTTGTGCTACACTGACAATATAGAAATCAGCCTGACTTTTTGGTTGCTGTGGGGAAGCATGTTTAAAAAGAAGCTAACTGGTTTTTATGTGCATTTTTGGAAGATCATTTTCATGTGGAATACACATATGTGAGTAATTCAATACCTCGCAGCACCTGCAAACTCCCCTGGCTGTGTAAACGTGGGGATTAAAATAACTGCATTTATTTGAAGGGAAGCTTGTGCATATCCTGCTGGAGCTGCCAAGTTAAACAAACTGAGATTTGGACTGATTTGGCTTCCTCCTAGAGCCATTAAAAGCACAGGTGGGAACCCTAGTGAGAAGCGAAGAATGGAGTCCTGTTCTCCGGTCTGACTTTTGCTCATGATTTGCCAACATATGGAAATCCAAACAGTGCAAGGAGAAACAAATTTGTGAAGGGCTCACAGTCAAAGCCCTCTTAAAGAAATGGGACCTTGATTCCATAGATTTGCAGAGCTGATTATAGTAAGACAGGGTTGAACTCCCAAAACTATAGCAATATATACATACACAGAAGGACACGGTGGCTGGTTCTGCTCCTTGTCGGTGCACACTGCTCAGTCCCAAGGATTTCATATTGGGAAAAGCAATTGGCAATCTGTGCTGAGTTACTTACATAAGAACATAGAAATGTTGGGATACTGCCAGGGAGATAAAGTCCATCAAGGCCCCCAAGCCGTCTGCCGGACGATCCATCTCAGTCTCCCGTAGGCACGCAGCGACATGAGTTTCTAGAAAATATCTTGCCACATTCTAGAGCTCATGCACGCTCTATCAGCAGATAAATGCACAGCCAAAAGTTGCAGTCAGGAGAGCATTATTTACAAGTTTATTCAGCGTTGATCAGAACACAGAAAAACATGACTGACTGCTGATTTAGTGTCTGCGACACCAGAGAGAAAACGAAAGCAACAGAAAACATAAACATCCTGTGAACAGGAAATACGCAGACTCTGACTCACAAAGCCTGCTCCCTTTTAAGGTGGAACGGAAATATCCTAACATCCTCCCCTTTCCGTGTAACCTGTAGTACCTGTGGTTCAACCCAATTGCAACCTTTGTACGTAAACCTTAAGTTGTTCTCTGTTAACAACCTTAGACAACAGATCAGCAGGAATTTCATTTCCTGGCATGTAGGACACCTGAATGAGTCCTTTCTGAATACACTCTCTTGCACGATGTAGCTTAATCTGCAAGTACTTGGTCCTTTGCTTGCAACTCTCTGAGTTCAGCAAAGCCAAACACGATCTATTGTCTTGATACACTTGTACAGGACATTTCACAGAAACTCTGATGTCCTTAAACAGTTGCATCAACCATTCACAATCCATGAGTGAAAATGACAGAGCATTGAGTTCTGCTTCACAGGAACTTAGGCTCACTGTCGTCTGCTTTTGCACAACCAGTCAAACAGGCAGTGGTTGTACATGTAGCATACTCCAGAAGTGCTTGTACCATCCGTGGTGTCACTTCCAAAACTTGCATCTGCAAAGATTTCAAGACCTCCAGTCTTCTGACTGGTGAACCTCAGCCTGTAGTGCATAGTCCCTTTCAAATAGCGGGCTATGCGCTTCAGAGCTTTCCAATCCTGAACAGTAGGATTGTTGGCATGTCTGCTAAGCAGGTTACAGCTTACAGCTATGTCAGGTCTTGAGCATCTAGCAATGAAATTCAACTTGCCTAGAATGCATCTGTACAGTGTTGTGTCAGAAAACGCTTCAGCAGTACTGTCTACCTGGTAACCTGTCACCATCGGTGTGTCTGCTGGGTTTGCATCAACCAAATTCAACCTGGTTAATACATCAGCAATTTTCTGTGTTTGGTGTACCAGAAAATTACCTGCTTGGTCCTTCTCCACCTGCAGAGAAAGATAGTTGGATACCTCACCAAGATCCTTCATGTCAAAGTGCTCCTTCAGCTGAGCTAGGGTGCTTTGATAAAAAGCCTGATTCTTCCAAAACATCAGAAGATCATCAACAAAACATAAACAATACAGTTTGTTTTGCCCCTCCTCCTTGACAAACACACATGGATCAGCTTTGCCCTGGTGAAAACCTAGAGAAAGCAATGTCTCAGTGAGTTTCGTGTTCCAACACCTGGCACTCTGCTTGAGACCATATAAGGATTTCCGCAGTTTACAGACCATTCCCTTCTGTATCTGCATCCCATCAGGTGGAAGCATAAACAGCTCCTCGTCCAAAATCCCGTACAAAAAAGCTGTATTAATGTCATGATGGGAAACATGCAGTTTCTCCTCTGCAGCTATCTTGAGCATCAGCCGAATGCTCTCATATTTGACGGTGGGTGAGTAGGTCTCGTGGTAATCCTGTCCTGGTACCTGTGAAAAACCTCTGGCAACCAATCTGGCTTTGTGTCTGACAACCTTGCCATTCTGGTCTGTCTTGGCCTTGAAGACCCATTTGCTGCCAACCAGTCTCATTCCTGGGACTACCGGTACCAGTTCCCAAGTTTGGTTCCTATTCAAGGAATCAACTTCAGCCTTCATGGCATTAAGCCAAGGCTCAGCATCTTTAGAGGTTAACTCCTGAACCTCTTTGAAGCTTGAAGGTTCCCATACCTTCTCTGAGCTACTAAGAACAGCAGTTGCTGTCTTAGCAAACTCATCAGCAAATCTCTTTGGAGGTCTGCCCTTCGTGGCTCTCTCAGATCTGCGTACTAGACGCAAGTCTTCTGGACTCATCTCCTCCTTCTTAGGAGAAAAGTGACCAATGGTGAACAGTGGTTCTTCCAGTTCATTGTCAGACGCATCAGATGGTCTGACTGAGGCCTTTGCGCTCTTGTAGTCTGCTGTGTCATCACTGTCACTGACATCAGCAGCAGCGCCGCCCACTGAACTGGAATCCGAACTCTGATCATCATCGTCATCATCATCCTCAGCAGCTTCCTCAGCTTTAGCTGCTTCTTTGACATCACCTTCATCCTCCTCTGGGTAACTCTGGAAAATTCCCACATTTTCCCCCCACTTAGGATTGTACTCAACACTCTTTGTGAACTTAATGGACTTAGAGTTGGTCATCCATACCCTGTATGCACCTTTTCGTACCCCATGAACAAACCATGTGCCCCACGCTTCCCAAGCTTGTTGCTTTGTGGGGTGTGTACCCACATGTCAGAACCAAAGATTCTCATGTGCTTGATGTTGGGTTTCTTACCAAACATCTTCTCATAGGGAGTACAACCAATAGGTGATGACAATCTGCGATTATAAGTGTAAGCAAAATTTGACAGAGCCTCCCCCCAATACTTATCAGGGAGATTGGCATCATGCAACAATGTTTTCATTCCTTGCAGCAACGTTTGATTTGCTCGCTCCGCAAGCCCATTCATCCATGGCGATCTAGGCGTTGACAAGTCATGCTGGATTCCCTTCTCAGTCAGGAAAGCTTCAAACTGCTGAGAAGTGAACTCCCGCCTCGATCAGTAAACAGACAGCCAATACGTTTACCGTGAACATTCTCCAACCAAGCACAGAATGCCTTGAACTTAGGAAACGCTTGCGATTTCTGCTCGAGCATAAACACATGAATGTACCTGGAAAAAGAATCAATTAGAACCATGAAGTACCTTGCTCCACCCAAAGAGGGCGCAAGTGGACCAACCAGGTCTGCGTGCACTAGCTGGTAGGGTTTGGAAGCCTGCCTGCTAGACTCCTTGCCTTTTGGAGCAACCTTCACCTTGTTCTCTGCACAAGATACACATTTCATGTGAAACTTACAGGGTTTGATGTTCAAACCCTCAACCATCTCTGGCATCTTGGCCAGCGCCTGCCAAGACATGTGACAAAATCTTCTGTGTGCATCATGAATGCATCCTGCATGAAGAACTTTGTTAGTTTGTGCAACACAACAAGAATCAGCATTAGACACAACAGCACCACTGTCATCATAAGTTATACAGAACAAGCCATCCATAAACTTTGCATGCAAAATGTCCTCTTTGCCTTTTCTGATGACACAGACGCTCCTCTTGAAGGAAATCTCAAAACCACGCCCAGTCAACTGTGGGACACTGAGCAAATTGTCTGCAGCGCCTGGAACATACAGTACATCTTTGATGGTAGTGCGCAGACTTGCCAGTTTCACAGTCCCTTCTCCTGCAATTCGCAACGTCTTCCCATCAGCCAGGTGGATCTCACCTTCTTGAGGTTTGAAGGAGATAAATAGGTGGCGGTCCTTTGAGATATGGCGGGTACAGCCTGAATCAACAACAAACCTGGCTGTGACCTTTGGAGCAGTCTTTGCAGCAAGCAAAACCTTGTTTTCCACCGGCGTGGGCTTTTGCAGCTTGCCCCCCTGCTCCTGGCCATCAGACTTGCCTTTTGCCTTTGGTGCAGCTGTGCCAGCAAACAAAACTTTGTTTTCCTCTGGCGTGGGCTCTTCACCCTCCCTCTGCTTCTGGCCATCTGCAGGCGTCTGCCTCTGTTTACCTTTGCCCTTCCGGCCTCTGCAAAGGCGATGACCTTGGCTCCCACGAGAAACAGAGCTCTCAGCTGCCGACTCCTTGGCTCCCCTGGAGGCTGGAATGCTGCCTGGGATGACGTGACAGTCAGCTCCCCTGCAGCTTGCAACCGGTGCCCTCGGCATCCCTGCATTCACTCGCATTCTGGGAAACAGCCAGGACCTCCGATGCAGTCAAACTCTGGGCTGGGATGACTGGCAGATGGGCTATCTTCAAAGCATGCCACATATTACGTGCAGTCAGATTGCCAGCTAGCGTCTTTATTTCCTCCAGAGAGACGGACAAGACGATTACGTCTATCGCCCTCAAATTCTCGGCCTCCCATCTATCTGTCAGATGGGCTTCAGACACAGTATGCCACACTCCAAACTGACGCAGCAAGCTCTCACACCACACAGCCCAGGTCCCATAATTGTGCCGATTTAGCTTTGGGCACTCAGCAGCCTCAGAAGCGTGGAAAAACTCCATTCCAGGTTTCTACTTGAGCCGTGAGCCTTATTCACTTCAGAGATGTCTTATCTCGGCAGCTCATAAATCTTGAGGCCTTTGGCGCGGCTCCCAGATCCATTAATCTGCCAGCCGGACATCAAAGCTCTTGCCGCGGCAAACAGAAAAGCCTTACTTTCGCTTTTCCTCCACATACCTTTCAGCAGTCTGTCGCAGTCTTACTCTCCTGTAAGTGCTGTGAATCTGGGCCCGTAACCTGTTGTTGGGATACTGCCAGGGAGATAAAGTCCATCAAGGCCCCCAAGCCGTCTGCCGGACGATCCATCTCAGTCTCCCGTAGGCACGCAGCGACATGAGTTTCTAGAAAATATCTTGCCACATTCTAGAGCTCATGCACGCTCTATCAGCAGATAAATGCACAGCCAAAAGTTGCAGTCAGGAGAGCATTATTTACAAGTTTATTCAGCGTTGATCAGAACACAGAAAAACATGACTGACTGCTGATTTAGTGTCTGCGACACCAGAGAGAAAACGAAAGCAACAGAAAACATAAACATCCTGTGAACAGGAAATACGCAGACTCTGACTCACAAAGCCTGCTCCCTTTTAAGGTGGAACGGAAATATCCTAACAGGCTTCAGGATCAAGCCAAAATCTCATCCTGCTTCCTGTAACCAACCCAATGCCTATGAGATGCGCAGAAGCAGGAACTGAGGGCAGCAGCCCTCTCCCCACTGGAGCTTCCTGGCAACTGGTACTCAGAAGCAAACTGACAAAGGAGGGAGAACATGGCTATAATAGTTAGTAAGCAATGGTAGACATCCAGGTTGGTGATCGTAATCTGGTGAACCGGGTTCACGTCTCCACTCCTCCACTCCTCCACATGCAGCTTGGGCTAGTCACACTTCTTTGAAGTCTCTCAGCCCCACTCACCTCACAGAATGTTTGTGGTGGGGGAGGAAGGGAAAGGAGAATGTCAGCCGCTTTGAAACTCCTTAGGGTAGTGATAAAGCGGGATATCAAATCCAAATGTCTTCTTCTTCTTCCAACATTCAACGTCATCGGACAGCTGCTGGGTTCTGGTCTTAGGAAAGAAGTTGATCTGGCTGCTCTTCCTATTTAACCCAGAAAGTACACAATATACTTTTAGAACAATGGTGGCCCACCTTTTTGACATGCTTGTCACAAACCCCAAGTAGGAAATTGTGCAGCTCAAACGGACATTGCAGTACACGTAGCCGTTACATTACAATGAACTAAAGGTGAATTTGCCAGGCTCCTAGATTACATTTTCAGTAGTATAGGTAAAAACATTTTTAGGTATACACACACCTTAGGAATATAAGTACAAAAGTAAGATTCTGACTCCAGCTGTAGTTTCTTGAATAGATTTCCACAAGGGATTTGGGAGTGGTGCAGAGGGCAAAAGTCACAGGTTCATAGCGCCTGACTAGTCTTAGACATCTGGAAAATCTAGTTGTGTACAGGAGTGGTTTAACAATCAATCCCTCTTACCTGGGAACTCGGGGAACTGCAGCGCTGTGAATGGAATAGGGGTCTCCTAACAACTTTCAGCACTACAGGTCCCAGGATCCTTTGGTGAAAGACATGCCTATTTAAAGTGGTATGGTTATGCTTTAAATGTATGGTGTTTTGACAGGACTGTAGCAGGAGGAAGAGAATGCAGGGATGGCCCAGAATGGCTTTTAAAAGGGTTAGACAAATCCATGGAGGAGAGGGCTATTGACAGCTACTAGCCATGATGAACTATCTTGCTGGAAAGCCCAGGAGGGAAGAGTATTCTTATGCTTGGGTCCTGATAGTAGGCTTCCCATGGGCATCTGGTTCATAGCTGTCAACTTTTCCCTTTTCTTGCAAGGAATCCTATTTGGAATAAGGGAATTTCCCTTTAAAAAAGGGAAACGTTGACAGCTATGATCTGGTTGGCCACTGTGATGCTGGACTAGATGGGCCATTGACCTAGAATCATAGAATCATAGAATCATAGAATCATAGAGTTGGAAGAGACCACAAGGGCCATTGAGTCCAACCCCCTGCCAAGCAGGAAACACCATCAGAGCACTCCTGACATATGGTTGTCAAGCCTCTGCTTAAAGACCTCCAAAGAAGGAGACTCCACCACACTCCTTGGCAGCAAATTCCACTGTTAAACAGCTCTTACTGTCAGGAAGTTCTTCCTAATGTTTAGGTGGAATCTTCTTTCTTGTAGTTTGGATCCATTGCGCCGTGTCCGCTTCTCTGGAGCAGCAGAAAACAACCTTTCTCCCTCCTCTATGTGACATCCTTTTATATATTTGAACATGGCTATCATATCACCCCTTAACCTCTTCTTCTCCAGGCTAAACATGCCCAGCTCCCTTAGCCGTTCCTCATAAGGCATCGTTTCCAGGCCTTTGACCATTTTGGTTGCCCTCCTCTGGACACGTTCCAGTTGGTCAGTGTCCTTCTTGAACTGTGGTGCCCAGAACTGGACACAGTACTCCAGGTGAGGTCTGACCAGAGCAGAATACAGTGGCACTATTACTTCCCTTGATCTAGATGCTATACTCCTATTGATGCAGCCCAGAATTGCATTGGCTTTTTTAGCTGCCGCGTCACACTGTTGGCTCATGTCAAGTTTGTGGTCAACCAAGACTCCTAGATCCTTTTCACATGTACTGCTCTCAAGCCAGGTGTCACCCACCTTGTATTTGTGCCTCTCATTTTTTTTTGCCCAAGTGCAATACTTTACATTTCTCCCTGTTAAAATTCATCTTGTTTGTTTTGGCCCAGTTCTCTAATCTGTCAAGGTCGTTTTGAAGTGTGATCCTGTCCTCTGGGGTGTTAGCCACCCCTCCCAGTTTGGTGTCATCGGCAAATTTGATCAGGATGCCCTTGAGTCCATCATCCAAGTCGTTGATAAAGATGTTGAATAAGACCGGGCCCAAGACAGAACCCTGTGGCACCCCACTAGTCACTCTTCTCCAGGATGAAGAGGAACCATTGATGAGCACCCTTTGGGTTCGGTCAGTCAGCCAGTTACAAATCCACTTAGTGGTAGCATAGTCAAGACCGCATTTTACCAGCTTCTTTACAAGAATATCATGGGGCACCTTGTCAAATGCCTTGCTGAAATCAAGGTAGGCTACATCCACTGCATTCCCTTCATCTACCAGGCTTGTAATTCTGTCAAAAAACGAGATCAGGTTAGTCTGATCCAACAAGCTTAGATTCTTATCACACAGTTGCTTTCCCCCTTTTTACACACATGCCTTTTATGCTCCTATAATTGATCATTAGTTTCAATCACATCTCAGGCCTTTCAAATTAAGAATCTCAGGCCACGACCACAGAATGCCTCCTTTTGCAGAGAACAGAACTGCCCTGGTCTGTTTGACTTGAAGCTCTGTTTAAAGACCTCTTCACTACAAACCTTTTCAACACTAGCTTTGCCCTCCCATGAAGAAATCTGCCATTTGATGTAAATGACCTTTCTGTTCTTACAAAAAAAAAAGATAGAAAAGGCAACTGCACCCACCTAATCCCTTAGCTGACTGGCTACAGCCTGCTGTTATACAGTGACATGTTTGCGGTTTCGTTATACTTTCAATGAAATGATAGGCGACGCAGGGAGTCCATTAGCCTGCTACATTCCAGTTGAAGTTAATTACACTTTCTCAGCTTCAGAGGAAGATACACCAGGTCGGAGCCTTCTAATCTACCACTCACATCTCTGGCATAAAATACCCATTAGCTGTACTACATTTTTCCTCGTCTTCTGTTCCTTCCTGTACTCAATCACTGGCAGCTCTGCAGCCAAAATCCCTATCGGGCTTCTTTAGAGCACCGTTCTGCTCTCTAGTTGGTGCCTAAACTGGCACTTAAAAGTGTATAGAAATTGTTCAGTGATACATGCTTAACACCTTTATGCAACAGGAAATGGAGGCACGAAAAGGCATTAAGAATTTACAGTTGCTTGTGGGTACTGAGAGGCAGAAAGAATTTGAGTTTAGAGCAGGGGTCAGCAAACTTTTTCAGCAGGGGGCCGGTCCACTGTCCCTCAGACCTTGTGGGGGGCTGGACTATATACGCTGAGTCCCGGACCATCCACAAGCTGGATTTAATAATAATAATAATTTATTTATATCCCACCCTCCCCAGCTGAAGCCGGGCTCAGAGTGGCTAACAACAGTAAAATGATACAACATTCTAAAATCATTTCATTATAAAATCAGTTCAAATCAAATTAATGGCAACCATTGGGCTAGAGTTCTGTGAGGATTGCCAAAGGAGGGGGTCAGGCTGTGCCCTGGCCAAAGGCCTGGTGGAACAGCTCTGTCTTGCAGGCCCTGCGGAAAGATGTCAAGTCCCGCAGGGCCCTAGTCTCTTGTGACAGAGTGTTCCACCAGATCGGAGCCACAGCCAAAAAAGCCCTGGCTCTAGTTGAGGCCAGCCTAACCTGTCTGTGGCCTGGGACCTTCAAGATGTTTTTGTTTGCAGACCGTAAGTTCCTCTGTGGGACATACCAGGAGAGGTGGTACCGTAGGTACGAGGGTCCTAGGCCGTATAGGGCTTTAAAGGTTTAAACCAGCACCTTAAACCTGATCCTGTACTCCACTGGGAGCCAGTGCAGCTGGTATAGCACTGGGTGAATGTGATCCCGCAGCGAAGACCCCGTAAGGAGTCTCGCCACAGCATTCTGCACCCGCTGGAGTTTCTGGGTCAGTCTCAAGGGCAGCCCCACGTAGAGTGAGTTACAATAATCCAGTCTGGAGGTGACCGTCGCATGGATCACAGTGGCTAGGTCAGGGCGAGAGAGATAAGGAGCCAACTGCTTAGCTTGGCGGAGATGAAAAAATGCCGCCTTTGTTATAGCTGCAATCTGTACCTCCATGGAAAGGGAGGTGTCAAAGATTACACCCAAGCTCTTAACGGACGGTGCTGGCACTAATTGCGCCCCCGCAAGAGATGGGAGTTGGGAAGTTTAGAAGGTGATTGGGCCAGATCCGGCCCCTGGGCCTTAGTTTGCCTACCCATGGATTAGCAGGGGTGCCCAAACTTTTTTCAAAGACGGCCAGATTTGATGAAGCGCACATGCGTGAGGGCCAACCAAAGTTATTTAGCTTTTTTTTAGGATTGAAGTTGCTGGGCTTTTTTTAGGATTTTACCCCAGGAAATATACTGCCACAGGGGCCGGATTAAATCGGCGGGCGGGCCAGATTAGGCCCCCCAAAATGGATTTTGGACATGCCTGGTTTAGAGGATCCCAGGAGCTCCTGAGTAGGGATTTGAACCCTGGTCTCCCAGGTCCTACTTCAACAGTCTAACTGCTACGCCACACTGGCTCTCTATGAAGTTATCTGGGCACATGCATAATCTATCCTGCATAAACTGAAAAGGGGGTGGGTAGGTGGGTGCAGACTGCAGGGGCAGGACACAGCTGGATGTATAGCCTCAAGTGTTGTAAGTACTCTGCTGGATGGATGTCCTGAGAACCTACTAAGACAAAAAATGACA